TGCAGATGTATAGAGATGGGGAAGCCACATGTGTAATAGCAACAAGCTATGCTTTGCTTTTGATATATTTTGAACTTCCTTGGAATACTGGAAATTTTCCTAAAATAAGTTAACTAAATGGGGCAGTGGTGGGGAGTGGTACTTGATTCTCAGGCATATCTTGGTTTTTCATTGATTAGACAGCCCAACAGGTTACTACTGGAGGAAGTGTTCTTTCTACTGCAGCTCAAGTGGTTATGCAGTGCATGTTACCAGCTGTCTGTCTGTTCCTTAAATATGAGATACTTCTAACATCATTATTGCAAAATCAGCCCCAGGTCCCACAGACTGGGCCAGGTTTGCATTCCTATAGGATTGTAGACAGGCAGGAAGTGTTTTCTCTCCCTACATTCGGTTTGAATTACAAGTTTATATATTTATTACTGCCTTCTCTCTAAGTGGCTGCCTGTGGAGTTGGCAGGGGCTGGGGATGGCATTGGTTGGAGGAGTTAGAACATCTGCCAGTAAGCATCGGGCCCAGTAACCATCAGCATTTGGTTTTGTTGCAGCTGTGACTATTACATACATGGATGTTGTAACATGAGAGAGTGGAAAACATTTTTAAAGTTTTTCTTTTAAAAAATGTCAATATTGGACTACTTAGTGCCTCTCTTCAAGTTGATTATTTGGATTGCTTATTAAAATAACAGAATTTAGACGCTTCAGGGCCGTTTCTGTTTTGTTTGTTTTTTAAGTTTGACTTCACGCCTAACCAGTTTTAGATCCTTCTGTAACTTTGTTAGAGACCATACTTCATTTTATGGCAACTTATCGTTTACAAATTTGTTATGGAATTTTTAGCTTGCCATATTGCACAAGGTACCTTCTGAAAGCTAGGGTTCTTCATTTATACAATGATCACATTGCTCATATTTATAATGTATCCATTTGATAGCTTATCCTCGTTTTTGTCCAAGCGGATTCTTAGATAGGTCTGTCAAACATCTCTGGTACAGATCGTGTCTCTCATAGGCAGATTGTATCAGCTTTCCAACTTTAAGCATGGTGACAGCAGTGGCTGAAAGGTTGTGAGGATTTAGTAACAATGCTAATAAAGTTACTATATGGTTACATATGTTCACTCATTAAGCCCGTACTGTATTCTAGGGGCCATACTAAGTGCTTTGTATGTGGCCACTTAATAAATTGTCCGTTAGACCCATAGAAGTAGGTGTTATTGTCAGCTTTTTTCGCAGCTGGGAAAATTGAGGTGCTGAGGCGGTCACACTAGGACTTGATTCCACACTGTCTTGAGTCTAGGCACTGAGCTTTAGCTTGTTTACTCCCTGGGTCACATTCTGTTTACATCTGTCCCACAATCTCTGTGTATATCTTCTGGCAGGACAGATAACTTGGCTTGCCTTGTGACTGGACAAACCTGTGAACAGAAGCACAATTAAACCCAGTCAGGTGTAGGTTGGGGACATCTCCCTGTGTGCAAGGGAACATGCCTCCTCTCTAGTTTCCTGGTGTGCCATGGCTTATTTTTGTTGACTAGCGCCTTAGTGTTGAGCCACTTCTCAGTGGGCAGGTATATTTTGGTCACAAGCCACTTGAGGAATCACTGCTTCCTATAACTGAAGAATCTCTTTTAGCTTGAGCCACATATGTATGTGGTTTTTTAATCTTGATGTTTTTTGTCTTTAATATGTGTATATGATTCTATTGGGATGATTTATCTTCACTACAATTCAGATAGTTGTAGACAATAATGATCTCCCTCCACCACCTTTAGTCATCCATTAGCTAAATAAATGGGCAGGGTTTTTTTTTTTTTGTTTGTTTGTTTTAAATCTTCTTTTAACGTGCACTGGGAAGGCTCTGGAATGCAATCTTTTTTGTAGTGGCTTACGTGGTTTCCTAGGTGCTGAGTTCTGTAGACAACGCAATGCCGGTATATTTTAGGAGGGAGGGGAAAGAGGACGTTGAAGCCTTGTTGATGCAAAGTGATTGTGTTGGGGAATTTAACAGCCACAAAGATGTACTGGCTAAGTCTAAGGAGGCTTAATAATGATTTCATGTGATTCTTAATATGTAAAATACTTAATGACCTTTTTGGGCTAGTATCCTAAACCTACAATTTTCTGGTATTTTTTGCTCTTGAAAAATTTTCTTTGAATAATAGCAAAACTAAGTATTTTTAAGTATATATGATATTTTTTGTTGCTTTTCCAAGTTTTGTGTTATTCACAAATTTGCTGAATATAAATATATTTCATTGTATAGATCAGTTTGCTCCTTAATTCTGGTAGTGAAAATCTGGATACTGAAAATTAATTAATACCTAAGTATCTGGTACTACTTGCTTCCATGAATTTCAGATAGTAACACACATTCATGTTTATACATCATGGAAAATGTATTGTCATTCCTTTTGATTTCTAAGTGAGGGATAGCTGTATTTCTCATCTTTGGCATTATTGACGTTTGAGGGCTGGTGATTCTTTGGAATGAGAGAACTGCTTTGTGCATTGTAGGAGGCTTAGCAGCATTTGACTTCTACCCACTTGGTGCCAAGAACATGCTTCCCTCCCACCCACCAGAAATGTCTCCAGATATCATCTAATGGCCTGTTTGAGAGAGGGACATATATGTGTCAAAGGGAGCTCTGGTGGCATAGTGGTTATACACTGGGCTGCTAACCACAAGGTTCATAGTTCAAAACTACCAGCTACTCCTCTGGAGAAAGATAGTACTTTCTACACCTGTCAAGAGTTAATTTCAGAAACCCACAGGGTAGAGGCAGTTCTACCCTGCCCTATAGCATCGCTATGAGTCAGCGTAGGCATTCACTCAAACATTAGCAAAGACTGTTAGAGGCACCTACAAGAACTATATTTCATCAAATGTAGAAGGATAATTTTCAAGGAAGAAAAATTAAAATTAGGGAGGAAGGAATTGTTGTAAGAAATACAAAAGAAAACATTAAAATTTTAATGTAGAGAGTATCACACATTAAACCTAACAGTTATATGGTAGCTATTACCATAGATTTGAGCATCTAATGCCTCTTACATTTGCTGTTCTGCTCTGTAAATTACCAGCGGAGCTTCAGTGATTATCCTAATAAGCTCTCTTCCTACCCTGGATACTTTTTTTTAAGTCATTTTATTGGGGGCTCGTACAGCCTTTATCTCAATCCACACATCCATC